CCTGCCTCGCCATTGTTTAGGCCAACACTAATTCCATATATTTTTTACATTATTTTTAAACAGAAATATATTTAACCTTAAATAGAAATACGTTTATTCTTAAATAAGAAATACATTTTAATTATTTGTGTATTTAAATTTCGCGAGTGCATTTGGACCAAAATGTGATTGATCGAAGCGCATACTACTGCGCATCCACGGGAATGTTACACCTTAGAACATACATAAATGGAACGGGCATTGCCTATACTTTCCATGGCTCGCGCTGATGCAAACGTCTGTGCGAGAGAGAAAGGTAGTAAGGGATAAATGTTCCCAATGCGCATGCGCAGCATCACGTTTTACACATCTGTGTAATGTACGAATGTGTAAAAACACTAAACCAACTGCACAATTCACACAGATGACGGTGCTGCGCATGCGCATTGCGAACATTTATCCCTTACTACCTTTCTCTCTCGCATAGATGTGGCTTCACGTTCAGCGCCCTATGCCCCTTCCATTTATATATATTCTAAGTGTTAAGCTGGAAGCACAGACTCTTGCATAACGCATAAAACATGAGGCATATGAAAATCAACCAATCAGAGTCCTTTATTTCAGGGAAAGGAAGGAAATAAAGCACTTTGATTGGTTTATTTTCTTATGCTTCATGTGTTATGCACTATGCAAGAGTCTGTGCTCCCCGCTTTACACCTTGTCTTATTACACCATGGTGTTCTGTATCGAGTGTTAAGGCCGTTCTACAATAAGTTGCAAACACCCCGTTGTCAGTCGCAAAGGTTGGCAACTACTAGTTGCAAAGTGCTATTTTCGGTTGCAATAGATAGTCGCGGTTACCAACGGAGAGTTACCCAACTTTTAACTCCTTGGCAACAGCAATTGTCTACCGTAACATCTTAACCAATCAAATATTGTCTTCGAAAAGCGCGAATAGTGAAATGAAAGTTGTTGTGATATATCGGTGGTGTTTGATTTATTTCATTTTCATTTCGAGAACATCTCGAATATCTATCACATAACCTGCTTGATATATTCTCTTCGATTTTTCGAACTTCTCTATGTTCTTTTGCCACACACAGTTTACAAGAAATCATTGTTTAAAATATAAAGTGTTTATGTGCTATATGATATCTAATTAGTAATATTGAGCAGCAAACGTGATCGAGCAGATTTTACGCGTGGCTAGAATACATAATGATTTTTATTCACTTTACTGGGTCAGCACGTACGTACTTCGCATGAATATTTTAAACAAGGATTTTTTGTAAACTTTTGATCATCGGTAAAAACGAAAAAAAAAAATGATATATTGGTCGGTATTCATAGTCAGATCTTACATTCAAGACTGTCTTAAGTACGGTCTTAAGAAGTCACGAACCAATCAGAGGGCTGCATTAGCGTCTTAAGACATTACTTAAGACAGTCTTGAAATAAG